AGAGAACAGACTCCTCGAACTGGTCCAGCTAAGAGCCTTTAGTTGGATAAAAAACAGATCCAAAAGCTGCACCTTCTCACTATCAGATTAGTTCTAGAATCCATTAGACTGCTTAAAGAACTGGTGCAGCAGGAAGAAAAGGTATGTAAATACCGGTAAGGAAGGAAGGGAATGATTTTCAACAAAAAGGAAGCAAAGGTCGATAATTTCTTTCTGCTAGTTCAAATTCATTCTTTTTACGGGGCATAGAACATTGCAGAAATGGATGGGTTCTCTAAACCAGCTTGGTGTGAGAATCCAAGCAATTGTTTAAAGCCCAAATTCAACTAGAAAGACAAAGTTTGAACTAGTACTTGCTAGGACAATATGAGGTTTTGCTCTTTTTCAGTGGTCGGAAGGAATTTGGTAATTCGACATGCTGAATTCTGTATTTAACGGGTTGGAATACCCCCAGTATTCCAAAATTAATAAATATTTTGCCTTTCAAAAAAAAAAATAAATAAATATATGATTTATTTTTCTCAAACCAAATACAACTTAATGTATATTCAAGCTAAAGAATTGTATATACCATTTAGTCAATATTACATTAAAAAAATCTAATAAATAAGAAATAATTAATTACTATTATCTCTTTATTTAAAAGTTTGATTCCCAGTTCTTCTTCCTCTTTACACCTCCCATTTCTCTCTCTCAAACCCTACCCTTCCTCTTCCTTTTCTTCATATATTTTTGTTCTCCAATTTCTAGCTCCATTTTCTCTTTCATTCTCTGTCGGTCTACGTAGATACTCTGTCAAAACTAAGTTCTCCTTTTGTCTTTGTGATTTCTGGGCATTGGGCAAGCCGGACCCTCTATGTCTGAGTCTCGTCCCCATTTTGTTCCCTACCAAAACTAAAAAATAAACACCACGAAAAAAACAGTAATTTATATAGTTACTCACTACCCAATTACCCAAAACCCTAGCTTTCCAACTTTCCATCTCTTTGTTCCATTATGAACCCTAGGACTTCTTCTTCTATAAAATCCAAGCTTACAAGAAGGTCCCTTCCAGCCTTGGTAAATTATAAATCGTCAGAAACCCAGTTCCTCTTCTCCTAGAGAGGTGTTTCTCCAATATCGAAGAATTAGAGTTACAGCTGGTAAATCAATGGCGACTGTGATTGGGCCAAGGAAAGCATGGAGTAGAGCACTACTATGGAGGATCAACAACCAAAAATCATCTAAACGTCTGGTTTCTGTTCGGAGAATATCAAGGCTAGTCATGGCATGAAAGTGAGGGTTGTAAAAGGAGAAGAGGAGATCAATCATAACGAGCAAGAGAATAAGCTGGGGAAGCTCATACTCGCTGTCGAAGCCATGGATTTATGCAGCTTGTTGGATGAGACAACACACCGTGTCAAGTGTCTGGCCACCCAAGTTCTCAGTTGATGAGAAAAATTTGTTGATTTCTACTCCACTTGAACAATTGGCATTAACTGAAAAAAAGATATATTGGATTAATATAAAGATAAATCCCAGATAAAATGTTTTAACAAAGAAATATAAGGGAGATAGTTCAGAAGTAAAAAAGATCCAAGTGGGTAATAATTAAGAACAAGCCAAACAAACCCTACAAGAGAACGGAATATCAGATTTTTATAGCTTTAATTTAGTTGAAGACAAATAATTTGTATCTTATGCCTTGTGTTTTACTTAATTAAAATTACTTGCTTTTAAAGCAAATTATGTACTTAATTTAGCTCCAGTCTCACTTTCTTTCTATGAATTTGGAATCTCTTTTTTTAGAAGTAATATTGTGTGGCTACTATTACTTTTTGGTAACCTTTTTCGATTTTTTTTTTTTTTTACAAATTCAGTTTGTTTTATTTCTCTGTGTCCTCTTCATGTTCTCAATATCTTTCTCTGAAAATATATATTACTCATGAAGTGGTAATTAATAGAACTAATTAATTTCTAACATTTCTTTCTTTTTAATTTGCTAGCCTGAATTGCTAAGTAATTAATTTTGGTTTGGTAGGAGTGGTAGACATTAGGAAAATTAATTGCCAAGGTGAGACATCGGCGATTGGAATATATATCAATCGAGTCTAACTCTATCAATATATATATATATTTTTTGAAAAGAAAACATTTTTCACATAACTAATATTCATATTGGCCTACAGCAGCTGCTCAAAAAAAAAATATTGGCCTACAGCAACCCAGATAAATCCCTTTCCTTGCCAGAGACTAGCAACCGGGAATTGCATCATTGTTTTACATTCATGAACAATCACTTATCATGTTGGTACTCCTCTTCCTCCTCATAGTCCTCCTCATCCGCGGTGGCATCCTGGTACTGCTGATACTCCGAAACCAGATCATTCATGTTGCTTTCAGCCTCAGTGAACTCCATCTCATCCATACCTCCCCCTGTATACCAATGCAAGAAAGCTTTCCTCCTGAACATGGCGGTGAACTGCTCGCTCACACGTCGGAACATTTCCTGGATTGAAGTCGGGTTTCCAATGAAGGTTGATGCCATTTTCAGGCCATTGGGAGGGATGTCACACACGGTTGATTTGACATTGTTGGGGATCCACTCAACAAAGTAGGAAGAGTTCTTGTTCTGGACATTGAGAATCTGTTCATCCACTTCCTTGGTGCTCATTTTGCCTCTGAACATGGCTGAGGCCGTGAGGTAGCGTCCATGGCGGGGATCTGCAGCGCACATCATGTTCTTGGCGTCCCACATTTGCTGGGTGAGCTCGGGGACGGTCAGGGCTCTGTACTGCTGCGACCCACGGCAGGTGAGAGGAGCAAAACCAACCATGAAGAAGTGAAGCCTAGGGAAGGGGATCAGAGTAACGGTCAGTTTGCGGAGGTCAGAGTTTAGCTGACCCGGAAATCTCAAACAGCATGTGACTCCGGACATTGTAGCAGAAATCAAATGGTTCAAATCACCAAAGCTTGGAGTGGTGAGCTTGAGGGTGCGGAAGCAGATATCATAGAGAGCTTCATTGCCAAGAACCATACACTCATCTGCATTTTCAACAAGCTGATGAACAGATAAAGTAGCATTGTACGGCTCCACCACCGTGTCGGAGACCTTCGGGGAGGGGAAAACGGAGAACGTGAGCATCATCCGATCTGGGTACTCCTACCTGATTTTGGAAATCAGAAGGGTTCCCATGCCAGACCCAGTTCCACCACCAAGCGAATGGCACACCTGAAACCCTTGCAAGCAATCGCAATTCTCTGCTTCTTTGCGGACAACATCAAGAACAGAGTCAATCAACTCTGCACCCTCGGTGTAGTGGCCTTTAGCCCAGTTGTTTCCGGCACCAGATTGACCAAAAACAAAGTTATCCGGCCGAAAGATCTGACCGTAAGGACCAGACCTGACACTATCCATGGTACCAGGCTCAAGATCCATGAGGACCGCCCTGGGAACGAACCTACCGCAGCTGCCCTCGTTGTAGTACACGTTGATCCGTTCAAGCTGCAGGTCGGAGTCCCCATGGTACCTCCCGGTGGAGTCAATGCCGTGCTTAGCACAGACCACGTCCCAGAACTTGGCACCGATCTGGTTGCCACACTGTCCTCCCTGGATGTGAAGAATTTCACGCATTTTGAATCGGAGGGAATAGCAGAAGCAAGAGAATCAAAAAATGGAGAATTAGGCGTTACCCTAACTCTATCAATATTTAGAAACAATATTAACAAAGCAACAATTGAAGTAGTGTCTCCTTTCAAAGATTTACAAATGGATATAAGGTAATTAAAAGAAGTATGCATTTATAGACGGGTCCAAGTAATTGATGATTGTGCTCCCCTTTTTTCCTAAAAATCATGTCCAGCTCCTTACTTTCTTTGATTTTTTTAGGGTTGTCATCCAGTTGCTTTAAAAGTGCTCACCTGATTTTTCCTTTACAAAACCCATGCTTCTTCTACATATGTATTTAAAAAAATAAATGGTTTAGATTAATATTATTTTTTCTAGACATGAATCCAAGGAGTTTTCAATTTTTTATTGGTGCTGTTCCATATCGAAGAACTAAGGTTTAGTTTAGTATGGTTTGTGGTTTCGAGTTTTTGATTTTGGTTTTCAAAATTCAAATAATCAAAATTAATAATTAAAGACAAAAATATCAATTTATTGGGTATAAAATTTTAAAACAAATATTCAAGACTTCAAACTTAATATTATTCTAGGTTTGTAAAAACTTTAAAAACCTACACCAAAAACTCAAAACTACAAACCATACTAAATAGAGCCTAAGTACTTAGGTATTTTGTGTGCAAAATCCTTTAAATTAATTGATAATGGTAAAAAAATAATGATAGCAATAGCATATATATATATATATTAAAGAAAAAACCTGCTCATAGTTTCTAGCTAAGAAAATAAAGGAGAAGGCTATTGTGTTATGATATAAAATTCTATCCAACTTGAACTTAATAGTTACAACAATTGGTTAGCAGATAATTAGTAGTATCTAGTCCAATACTTTATAATACACTAATAAAAAAATTATTATTTTTAAATTTGAATTAAAGATGAAAAAACTTAAAGTTACAAATTTTTATGGCTAAATCAATTGGTGTTGATAAATGTGTCGAATTGGAGGATATACTAATAATTTTCTTAATAGTTAATTAGCAAAAATTAATAAGAATAAATTACCTAAAGCTCAAACAAAAAAAACATAAGCATCATTGAGTAAACATTGAAAAAAAAAAGATCAATATAGGTTTGTTGACATTTGTATAAAATAAATACAAAAAATGATTATGTTGATAAAAGAAAGGACATTAATTAGCTAGTATAAACTTTAGTTTAACACACTACACAGCACACTTACGTAAAAATCATTATCTTTTGGTCTAAAATAGAAGCTAGATAAACTTAAGGATTCAGCCATGGGTATAACATGCAAAAATATGCCGAGTTAGTTATGTTATATTTTAATGACTGAATTGGGCAAGTATTAAAAGGTATGTTAAACATGAAAATATACCAATTATTTTTAAAAAAATTAAGAAATGATATATAATTAATACTATTCATTTTTAGTGGAAAAAAATTTTTCCAAGCCATGCTAAGGTTAGCCACTAGTAAGAGTCCATCTCTTTGAGTTGATTTCGAGAGGGTTTTTATCGGTTGCCTTCTTGCTTCTTGGTCTTTAGTCAAGGTTCTACTGCTAATTCAATTTCATGATTGGTACACGAGAGCAAGATTTTGGTCAATTTCGATGGTCTCGTCTAGTTGATTGGGTATAGGGTAACAGGTTGATAGTTGTTGGAAACAAGGGTGGTGCATGGTTTTGGAGGTCTTAGCTTCTTTGGTGAAGGATTCTTGGGGTTGCTTGTTGCTAGTAGGGAGTGGATTTCTAGTTATGTGTTTTGTTGGAGGCGAGGGCAGCGAGTGGTGGACACATCGAATCTACAGTGATGGTATCCTGGAGGCTGTTTGTTTTCGATAAAACACTTCCCTCTACTTTTGGTGGTATGAAGGGATTGAGCATTGGACTTGCTTAATTTTAGTAAAGGTGAGATGGATGGTTTTGGTTGTGTGATGCAAGCTTGGACTAAGGAAGCTTTAGTGCTTTTGGGTTGTTTGTTTCAATGGGATAGGTTGCAACAGTGGGTTGTTTTCTGTAGCAGATTGATTGACATCTTATATGAGAGTTCGTAAGGAGATAGATGTAGTTTGGAAAATGGTCTAGAATTCAAGGCTCGATTAGAGGTGGTGTTTAAGAATCGTATGATTTTTGTTGTAGGACACCTCTGTGTAGGGAGGACTATGCACTTGGTTCTTTAGAGAATATGAGAGATGTTTTTCTTCTTTTCTTTTTTTTTTTTAGTACATTTGATAATGGATTATATAAAAATGGATATCTCTTCCTTTTTCTTAAATTCCTTTCTACTATACTCAAGGCTTACAGCTAAGAGTTCTAACTTGGAATCCCATGCTCACAACTCGTTAAGCCACCCCTCTGAGCAAAATGAAAGATGTTTTTGTGGGTGTTCAAGATTCATATTGTTGTGGCCCAACAAGGAGGTTTGATTCAATGTGTTTGCTCATACTTTTCTTTGGAATGGAAGTTATCACCACATTTTGGAAGTGTGGCGGGATGAGTTTTGATCCCTGCTATGTTAAGCTACCATGGCGTCGGGTGTGTTGTAATAATGTAACTAATGCTTAAAAGGTAATTGAGATGCTAGAACAACACTTGGATTTATATTTGTTGATATTTCTCTTTCTAGTATATTAGTGTTTAGGCTTTTTCTGTACATAAATCAACATATTAATCATAGCAAATAAAAATTATTTACCTCCTTTAAAATTTGAAAAACTGTCGATGAATTTAAGATAAATTATGAATAAAAACCATTATTTTCAGATAGACTGTACAATGCTTAAAAAAAGGCTAATACAGACAAATTGTGAGAGAGTGGACCATGAGCATGTTTGAGTTCTTATAAAAGTAATAAAAATTCAAAAAGAAACAAAGATCTTGCTATTGTTTTAAGTTTTAACTTTATGGTAGCATCAATTCATCCCACCACCAAAATCTCACATCATCTGATTCAAGCAAGCAATTGATTGTAATAATTTATATCAGCAAACTACAAAAAATGGTAGTACACAAGTATCGTACTTCGCAGCATTCCACATTTAAGCAACGAGTATCACAGAAGAAAATGAAAATCAGGTTCAATAATATCCCAGTCTGTTAAAAAATGGACATCTGGGGCCATAAATGCAGGACCACATATTGCTGCGACTCTGGCATACTATGTTGTTGCCGCTTTTATCTTTCTCATTGTCCAGAAAGCAGCATGATACCGATTCTACAAGGAAGATCAAAACTCAGTCTGAAGAACGAAAAATATAATACAAAAATACCACAAAAAGAAAAATCTAATGTCACGATAATTTTTGGTAATTAAATGTAACATGCAATCAATACTTTGGCAACGTTGCAATGCAGAAATATACTTACAGGTGTAAATACTGTTTATTTTTTGATACATCAGACAATGGGTTATATGACGAGTGGTGGGTATCTTGTTTCTTAAATCCCTCCCTACCTGTCACAACATATGAACTTGAGACATCCGAGTTAGGGTCTCGAGCTCTTATCCATTGAAACACTTCCTCAGGGACACTAGTGCTACATACTTGATAGCATGAATATCTAACTCCATTTAAGGAGGTTAACCTCCAACTCCAAATTGCACTTTACATACCATTTAGTCATGTCCCCTTCAGAGTTTTCTTAGGCACCACTAAGGACAACTGAAACACGGGTATTCCTTGATCAATTCCAAATACCCATAAAATATAGTCCGTATCATTCCGGTTTCGAACATTAGTCACCTTAATTAACTCAGTTATATCAATTAATTAACTATAATCAGAAAATTAGTCATTGCAATTTGCATCCGTTTCCATCTCCTCCACCCCTTTTCTCTATCTAAATACAGGTCTATTTGGTTCACAGAAAACCACTTTCAGAAAATATTTTCTGTATTTTCTGGTGATTGATAACTCTTTGGAAAATAGGTCAATGGAAATTAAGTTTAGTCAAAGGAAAATGCAATAGGCAATCTCTAAAAAATTACTTCCGGATTGAATTTCAGGAAGTTATTTTCCAAGTTCAAAAACACAGGTTCTCAGGATCCGACTTGCAAAATATGCAAGTTTTCAGGTTAAAACATCAAACACCAGGCAACTCTATTTGCACTAGAAACTCCATTTGCAGCTCTGCTCTCCTCTGAACAAGAAAAAAGTTAAGAGTGAGTAAATTGGCCATTTATCCGGATCCCAGAACCCATTGCATAAACCTCATTATTTGTTTGTCACTTTTTCCAAGAAAGTCATACATTTTACTTCATTTTGTAAATTCTTGATTGGGTTTTCATCCAAATAGAGTATTATGTAGTTCATGATTGGCATATTTTTCCTTTGTTTTGATTTTGGAGGAAAATACCCCTCAAGTTTTTGATGAAGTGCCGATGCCAATAGCATTAAAAAATCCCAAAGCCTGATTTTTTTTGTTTTATGTTATTTTTCTAAGTGTTTCTTCTGTATTATCTGACATGATTTTGGAATTTGTTAAGGATTTATGATGATGACGAGGAATATTGCCTGTGAACAGTTCACAGAGCTATTAACATTCATTGAGGTCCTTTTACATTTTTGAGTAGTATGTTGAAATTTTTTATTGAAGTCCTTTTACATTTTTGAGTAGTATGTTGAAATTTTTTATTGAAGTCCTTTTACATTTTTGAGTAGTATGTTGAAATTTTTTAGTTCAGGGGAAGGGGAGGAGATTGAAGGAGAGGTTTCCCCTCTCTTGTTTGGATAATGATATTAAGGGAGGGGGATAGAAGGTGAGATAGATGGAGGGTCCAAATCTCTTATTTTTAATCCCTCCAATTTGGGGGGATTTGGAGGAATTCAATTTACTTTTTTATTTTTTATTTTTTACTTTTTTATTTCAAAAAATGTAATTAAAATTTCTATTGAAGCTATAATTTTAATATATAAATTTATAAAATTTTAATTAATTTTATAATTATTTTTCTTTAATTTATTTAATTAAATAAAAAAAAAAAAATCTTCCCCTCCCTCTCCTTCCTCTTTTTTAATCAATCCAAACAAAATTAATATTAATCCTTTACTCTCCTTCCCTTCCCCTCTCTTCCCTTCTCCTCCCTTCCTTCCCTTTACTAATTTTTATCCAAACATATCCTAAGTGTTCCAAACGATAGAAGTCATTTTCCATGAACCAATGGGTTCAACATATCAGACTTTCTTATATTTTTGTCCAAATTCTAGCAACCCTACGTGCCGAAGAAGAGCAAGATGGATTAAATTTAAACTAGCCATTGTACAAGGGTTGTGTAAATAAATCAAGACAAATATCAGAGAAGACAATTCCAAACTTTTTGCAGATTATTTTCCTAAGGCATACCAAAAAGATTTTTCCAAGAAAATCAAATCCAAACAGAAATTGAAATGTCTCATCCTTCTCTCATCTTGCAGAGCAATAAATCATTTAAGAAAATGAATACAAATCAAAAGCCATAATCCTCCTCTCCTAACATTCTCTCAAGCTTTTCTCAGAAACTTATTCACTTGGGCAGATAGATAACAGGCATTGAGTGCTGAGAAGTTGAAAACGCAATGACTGAAATGAAGGTTTTTATTTGAAATTTGAGGGATTGTAATCAAAGTTATTTTTATATAACCAAATAAATGAAATGTCGTTTGTTAAATTTGAAATTTGAGGTGTTACAATAAAATACATCAAATAGAAAGATTTTGAGCAGGCACTCACACCATTGCAAAGCCTATCCTACCAAAGGTTTTTATGAATTTAAAAAATTGCTTTTTGGTTTTGAAAAATTTCTTAAGACATTTTGCAGTTGAGTTTTCCTCCCTTTTAACTCTTTTGTTAGTGCACCTTTCTAGCAGTCCATGAGCTAGCCTTTACGAAACTAAAGGAAACATGGAATTTGGAGTGAAACACTGACAACATACAGGCAGTCCAGAGTCATACAAACAATACCTTACAATAACTATCCACAATTGTGGCTAGATTTCCCCTCAGCTTGTTGAAACAGAAATGCATTTTCACTTGAACATTTTACTAAAATAAATCATGAATGACAAATGAAATGTGAAACATATTAGCACAGACCAGTATCAGGGAGCAGAGTTCAAGAAAATGTCATACTCCTGAAACTCATAGAAGTAGTGCTAAGGGAACTCTGCAATTCTCACCCGGTCTCACGGACATTTTTGGATTTTCATATCATTTTTCATTATGTTGATTTCTTTTGGACTTAGGTTTCAGACTGACATCACTTTATCCTAACGGACCGCAAATTGGTAATGCTGTCTTGTTTTTTATGAGGATAGCAGTGTGTTTCTAAAAAAATGGGAGAAAGTATAGTTTATACCTCAAGGGTACTTTTAAAAATTTTTCCAAAGATGGAAAAGCAAGTTAGAACATAAGCAGGCCCTATCACAGATGTCCTTCAAGTAAAAGTTGTAATTATTTTTTTCACTTCCCCTTTTATATATTTGTTTAAACTTCCTAGCCTTTTTCCTACCAAATAATGCATGTTTAATACTAATTACACATTTACACCAACTATGCAAACATCCTAGCTCCAGCCACTCACACACAATAAATATGTAAATGAAATGAATTCTATAATCTCAACACTAATCAAGGCATAAACCGAGGATGAATATCATGATTTTAAACTTTCCATTTAGATTTACTCAGGTGTTATATTAAAAAGAGTATCAATAGGAAAGAAGGATGAGAGAAACTTACTTGCATCATTGATCGTGGATTTGTTGTATATGTTGTCTCAATGGTCTTTTCTTTCTGCAGTTGATAAGTATGACAAATTATACATCAATAACCATTGAGAAATGCACTCAGCAAAATTATCAAATAGACAGAGAATCATCTGTGGAGATAAACAATAAAGTAAGGCTGTTACCGTAAACTCAAATCCATAATGTAAAGCAGCCTTCTTTACATCTTCCAAGCTGAGTTCAATAGACATCTCCTGAAAATTAGGAAGAAAAAGATGAAGGAAAAGAACTGAAAATTAGGGAGCAAGAATGATGTATCACCTGGTTTTCCTGTGTGTAAAATCATCTACTCCAGGAAGTTAAAACCCTCACAAAGGAGATAAACTTACATCTTCATGCCCATGCATGTCTGCAAAGTGATACAGCAGGGGTCCCAAATTTATCCAAACCTGATAAAGTTCAAACTGACTAAGCTAATCGAAAAGCAATGTGGATAACTGAAAAGAAAAGACTGAAGGAAAATGGCACAAACAGCTTAAAGAACTCACTCCCCCCTCTTTCAAAATTGTAGATATGATTTCAATGTACTCAATAATGTTATGTGCTGTGTCGATGAAGAAACAGGTCACAACAGCATCCCAGACTCCTGCACAGAGCACATAACCCTTCATAATGTTGCACTTTCAATTATCATACAGAAAAATTAACAAAAATATCAGCATTGGTGTGAAAAAGTACACCAGAGTTTCTTTTTTTTTTCAGAAAAAGAAGTAATATTCCCACATCAATGCAAGAAATATGGTAAAAGAAATCATTACATACAGCAAGTAGATTAACAACTAACAAGATTACATGGTGTTCCATTTTCCTTTTGAAGTGACTAAGAAAATGAACTCCAAGCAAAGAAGCACATACTCAGAGTTGCAGGAAAGCCTCAGAGGTACAGGTTATGGAAGAAGTGGAACACAGGTTCTTCTTACAAGTAAAAGATTTGGAAATTTTCAATATCAGCAGATTCACTGTGATCAGAATATATAGCAGATTCCAACCCCAATACAACATTGGCTAGTTCCTTAATAAATCTAACCATGGACCATCATTTCCATAGCTGTGTGCAACCAGTCTCCTGAGGCTAACTGCTAACTATGCAGCCATCAATATGATCTCCTTATCCCAATTACAAGGTAAAAACAATGGTTTACTTTACATGGCTAATGCATGTGGCATCAATTTCAAAAGATACATGATATCTATTCCACAATGAATCATCTCCAATGGTATCTGAACAAAACCATAGATAACATTAGGGTTTTATAAATTTGCACTAATTTAGAAATGAGAAAATCCCTCCATCTCCTTAACAATATAGTTAGATTGAAATTATAAATCTGTTACTATTTATGAAACAACTTATGTTTGAGCTATAACTACAAAGCAAACTAGTCATATTAGCCCTGAAGTGGAAATTACTAAAAAGAAATAATCTAGTCCGATATTACAGAGGCAATCAAGAATCCAAGTTTTTGCCAAGGCAATTCATTATTGGTTTAAGCCATGCAAGAGACGTTTCCCTGTTTGCTATGTTCAGAAAAGAAAATTCTAGGGGGATTTGATTTACATGGTTCAACTTGCAACGAGATGAAGGAAACACTAATTAACAATGGTACCCTAAATTTTTTTTTATGGAAATAACCAAGAACACCCTAATCTGAAACAAGATCAATCCTTAAGAGTTTAAACCCCTATCACAAATATATAAAAACAATTGACAGCAAGCAGGAAAAACAATTTTAGAAATGGTTCCTTATATGACTCATTTTAGCAGTACTTAATTTCAATTTAAAAAAATTCAGTATTTTAAATGAGTCACTTTCGGGCAAAAATCACAACAAAGAATGGCAGAGAAAGATCAAGTTCCTTCAAGATTTATTTGTATTGCTAGTTCCATCCATCAATGAGTGCTACAGCAGAGAAAAGGTTGAGGTAACTAACAGTTTGTCCCATACCTACTTGGCATGGATCATTATAGACTTCAACAAAATCCCCACCGCACATAGAAAAGCCTTCAGTAATTCCAGCACTGGTAGCAAATAAAAGTTGTCAAAAGAGAATGAAAAATGGTGTTAAAGTAAGTTTCAAAAAATCATGGCAACATATAGTAATCCCTTAGGTAATTTCATCCATGATTCTTCCATCTTCAGTCTTACAGCATCGGTAAAAAGTATAAGAGTATTTTAAATATGCATCACAATCTTATGGCACTGGTTTGTTTAAACTTTATATTCTGAAAATTTCTATTGAAAAAGACACTTGAGACTTTGAGAGTAATCTTGTAAGAGTGAGAATCAAAACTGTATCATAAGCACAATTACCAAACCCTAAGTACAACATTATCAAAGATGGAAGATAAATGTCCACTCTATTGCAGGGTGGTTTTGAAACAATCATGGGTGACTGGGTTGGTCAGTCAATCAAGATTAAAACAGTAAAAGGACAAAAAAAATGAAGAAACAGCTTACAAATAAAAATATCCAGATTTTACCAAGTCACCAGAATCTTGATAATGAATTCACTCATAAGACAGCCATATGCACATGTTGTCACTATTAAATCAATTGTCATCCTATACTCTCTGATACAAACTACATGATCATAACTGATTTTGGATGTCCGTCCAATAGCTCTTGGGTATTTCTGAGTAAATCAACACTTACAATCCAATCTTTGATCTTCCTCATGTACAACATTATCAAAGATGGAAGCTCACATTTCATTCTTACTCTATTATTTATGGCTAACATTCATTTACTCTTTTAAGATTGCTTTTTTTTTTCCAAACAACTACCCAAACTCTACCAATGTTCATCCTACAAAAAAAATTCCCCATGTCATCATCTACCTTAGCTCTTTATTACAGAACCATCTTTTGCCCATCACCCATTTCCATCCCTGCTTTAAGCACACTTTCCACAAACTCTAGAGAACTTTACTCAATAATATTGGTATTAACTTATAAGTTGAGAAGTATTCATAAGATGCAGAGAAAAAGGCTCACTATCAATTCAATGGCTCTGCCTAGGTTACATGGATTGAGAAAGGAGCAAACCAAAATTTGACATAGCACTTTTATTTGATTGAAAATTCAGACTGATTCAATTGCTTCATACCCAAAATGAATGATTTAATGATATTTGACATGATCAAACCTATGAGTATTCAAATGGAGAACAAAAATCAAAGACATTAAGAATTTTTGATATTGGAAATGAGTGTATATATATATTGAACAACATCAAAACCAACAATACCTTGCAGGCAAAATATCTGGTATTAAAACTGGACGAAGTTGATCACCATCTGAAAGTGAATTACAGTTGCTGTGGATCCATGGATATATTGTCCACTGTCCAACAGTCTGAGTGCTAAGAAAAAGGAATAGAACTAGTTAGCAAAATAGTTTGGAGCATTTCGTAAAGGGAAATACAGGGAGGGATTAAAAGAAAGATGTAGCAGATGCTAGGTAGCCTTTTACTAAGCTTCTCTGCTATGGATAATGCACATCTGAAGCAAATAAAGTCTTTAAATTCTTACTGATTAAGGATAAAACTGGAGCATATCATCATGTAGTACGAAAATTCATTTCCCTGGCTCACAAAACCTGCTTTACAAAATGGGAAACCTTGAAGATCACATAGTTTTCTTCACTGATTTAAACATCTGACAAGATGATGTTAATTCAGACCTAGACATGATATTTCTAGGGCAAGCCGTCCAAGTCCAGCGCCAGGAACTAAACAAGTAGGAGGACTCCTTAAAGAAAAATCATATGTTTAGTGCATCAGTAGATGATAAAAGAACTCTTATATAATAGGGAAAATAAATTTACCATCACAATCAAAAGATAGAGGGAACCATTAAGTTCTTTCAATATATCATGAAATGAAATTATGGAATCACCTCCTTAATAACTACTTAAGAAAAGGTACCTCTCCTTGCAACGATTAGGAAATAGGGCATCAAGCTCTTCAAGGATAGGTTTATAGCACTGATCACGTTCGTTCTTTCCCTGTTTTACAATATAATGTTGCAGTATCAACAAAAAGACAAAGAGGCAAAGGAACAAATGGACCTGTCTGAAATGGAAGACTACTTTGAACCTTAAAATAAATCAAAATCAAAGCAATACCTCTGCTGCCCAGTCTCTTACTATATTCCTTATTATACAACGAACCTGAAATGAGAAAATTATACATAAATTTACAACTACTGATTTTTATAAATACACTAAGGGCAAATACTAGCATGTTGTGCAAGGAAAAAATCCATAAAAATAACTTGAAGGCAGTGGTCAATTTTATCTATATATAAATTAAAAACTTTTGAATATAATTGTAAAACATTCTTCTCAATTAGTTTTTACTAATCTATGCAAGAGCCTCCTAGAAGGTCACAGATAGCTACAGAAAAAAGCTTGAAATCAATTGAATGGTACTATGTGGCACTATTTGTAGCTTGTGATAAGATCCATTATTCTGCTGCAGCATGTGTCTATGAGCTACTCATCCACTATTTGTTCAGATCCTCCTAAACAGTTTATCCCTCTGTACTAGAGAAAAGTCAACAACTTAATTTGGCCGGATCGGAATAAATGAAAATGTTGCATTTGATTTCAACTTAAACAATTAAATTACTTTAGGGTAAGACATTTTTCAGCAATATTTTATAATCCCAATCTTTATGCGCTCTGTCTTAGCCCCAAAAATATAGTCTTCATGTGCTCTATTCCTTTAGGAAAGGATATCCATGCTGCCAAATAATTTGAATATATATGTTCTAACCCTTTGCAAAAAAAAACCAATCAGAGTGCAAAGGTTAATGAGTCCAGCACCCCTTTTTATTAAAATGAAAATAATTATAAAAAAATATTTTATTAAGAAACACATATTGAAATAGCCTGACTAATAAATCATTAGAATATTTCAATTAATTCTAAGTATGGTCTATTAAAATTATTCCTTGAGCAGTGCTACGGGCACTCGCTTTTTGCACTCTCCGGCCAACACTTTCCCTTTCATTGGGCCACGTAAGCTTCCCTATACCTTTCAGGCACAACCTCTTCGGAACCAAAACAACGTGGCCCAATAAAAGGGAAAGTGTTGGCCGGAGAGTGCAGGAGGCGAGTGCCCCTAGCATTGCTCATTATTCCTTTTTTGGCCAGCAGGAAAAATTATTCAATGTTGTGAAATTTTAAAGTCCACTTCCTCCAAAAAAAATACAAGTTCAATTCAAGTCATCACCCTCCCAACCTATCAAAAGAACCCAATAAGAAATTTGTAAATATGACAGCAAAGCAACATATTACAAATTAGAATATCTAAATTGACCCTATTACAGAGCCTTATCACAATTTAGAACCAATTTTTTTATTGTTCATAATACTTACGCCTTCTAGGATACAAGATCAAGAGCATAAATATACCTTATCGACATCAACTAAAGGAACATTCAACTGTAATGACGGATCCAACCAGTTGTGCGATGATGAAGTAACCTGAATGATGTAACCAGAGAAGCAAGACATAATTAAAAATAGAGAACAAGAAGCAAGGACCAGTTGAATAAGTTAGAGGTGTTAATACAAAAGAATAATGCCTAAAATACTTGCTCTTGATTCTAGTGTAAAAAAAAAAAAAAAAGAATTTGAAGGACTTAAATCTTTTCCCCTTTCAATGCATGAATTTTGCAGCATCCTACGTGTTCTCAGTAAACTCTTTATCACAATAATAGAACAACATATTTTGCATAACACTCTTTGCCAAGATGCCACATGCAGATTATTAAACTGCATTTTCAGAAGATAATTGCACATCAATAACCTTGAATTCATTCTACAAAAATCTTATTACACTGTTTAAATGCATGGACAAAATGCATGGACAGCATTCAGGTCCTCTGTGTATCATATCATCACACACACACACACACACATGTAAAATAAATATATGTGAATGGGAAGAACAGGCATTAAGATGAAGAAGATAACACCATGTATTTATGTAAGATATTATACCTAATCAACTCAAAAGGACAGCAAACTCTAAATTTTTTGGTTGAAAAAACAATCCAAGGAAACATCTTTTACTTATAACCATGAAGAATAAACAGTTTGAAACAATCAAATGGTATTACATTTCCGTTGGAACCAGTGACATCATTCCCACCATGTTCATCTTGTTCATCATGTTTAACAATGGTTCCAGCAAAATTCCCAGGAGGGATCTTGTCTAAATGTGCACTTTGCATTTCCTGCGCTTATCCATATAAACCAAATTTCTAAATGAATTAAAAAACAAATTGAAAACCAACCAGATATTGCAGTTAAACAAGTATCAATAATTAAACAAGCATGTGTTATCAATTAAATGGCACAAAGACCTCATCAGTGGTTAGCCCTGTTATTGAATTGCACAATATGTTGCTCCCCTCCTGAAGCAAGGCTTGGTCCTGTTTAGAACAACGCATTCTCCCACTAGTTGAGGCAAATGGAGAACAAGCCTTCCTCTCTCCAGTGGGATGATCATATGGAACATTCTCGAGGACTGGATCTCCACAAATATCCACATCTAGGCTCATATCTAGAGGAGGTTCAAATGCCTGGCACCCAATTAAATGTAATAGCATTCTAAGTCTAACCTAGACAATCACCACCAACAAGGGATTTCTATAACAGAACAACAGATTAAAAACTAGATTCAAAGAAAATAAGAACTAAATGCAGCTCTGACATACCTGAAGCATGTTAAAAATGAAATAGGAATTTACAGAAATACACCTGCAGAATTAAAAAGCAAGAAGTTACAAACTGCCAAGATGTATACTGAGGTAAATTTAAAGGTAAAATAGATAGTTTCTATGATCAGAAGAGCATTAGCCCCAAATAGAAGGTCATACAAATGGCATTTGATGAATGGTGACAATAAGAAATTTAAACAACAGAGACAGCACGACAACACAAGACCAAAGGAATTAAAGGAATGAAGGTTATCTAACGCAAATGACATTTCAGCAAATGATAATGCAAAAGTGAGCGTATGACCCACAAACATCCATGCCATTAACTTCAAAGAGATAGATTTGTGCCAACACACACAATCTCCTCCTATCCCTTTACCTGCTCCTACAGCATACTGCATGAAACAAGATTACTGCCAGACCATAAGGTCATTGACAGTCACATATTTTGTATTTACATGCACTAGTCATGACTTATCAAAGAATTGAAGGATGTATTCATTTCCATTATTTTCCCCTTTAACCTCATAAGCCAAGTATTTTTCATAATGTTCTACCAATTTCCATTCATCAAAAATGAAGACAGGCAAATTTTAAAAAATTTAATAAAATTATCAATATCCAACTTTAAAAGCTGAAGCTTTTTAACATGAGAAGAAACCAAAATTGGCCTTGAGTGCTAGCACAACACACCGAACAGTAAATCATGAATTACCATATGATACTATTCCAAAAATTTTTCGAAAAGTTAAGAACACTTAAAAGCCACTGCTTAATAAAGGTGCTGTAGAAAATACAATCCCTAGAAAAGGAAATACATTGTGGATTTGAAGTTGACTAAAAAACAAATTTGAAGGGCCACTAAAAAGACAATCTAGCTGAAACTGATGTATGATGTGGATAATTCTATAATTTCAAATACAAAACAATGCTTTGAACAGAATTTATTCTACTAATCAAATTTTTGTTCTTGACAACATAGATTTCAAGTTTTTGAAGTGAAAAGATTCACACTCAGTGCAAAGAAATGTGGTTCTAGAATGAAAAATTACAAAAGCATGTCAAGGGCATACAAAACTTAAGTCAAACATGGAGATGATTATACTTTAACAACTTTTAGGGCTTGTTGGGTTGGTGGTAGTGATATTCCTTGGTCCAAAAAAAAATAAAAGCTGTTAACATTAAGAAACTTCTATAGGAAGCTAGAAATAGCAAACCCTTAATGTCTAATTTTCCTTTTACAATAGTAATTAGTAAAGAATCAAGAAATACCTATTCCTTAAAAAGTAGAAGGAATACATATTCCTCATTCATCCCCTAGTTTAGTAGAAAATTATCAATATCAAGGCTAAGCTATTCCTAGCTTCCCAAAAAAGTTTCTCAAATTTACTTTATTATTATTATTTGACAAAGAAATAGCCACTACCACCAACCAAACATGACCTTAAGAATTGAAATGTTAGAATTTAGAAATGCTGCAACTCCAGCCTCAAGTAATCTCAATTGATGACTTAACAAATGACAGTTTGTGGAATAAAATGCAATCACCAAACAACAAAAATCAATTAGAGTTGGAATACCTCCTATACTCCTTATTAATAAAATTTTTTTGGCCCGATAAACAAAAAAAAAAGAAAAGAAAAAAAACACCAATTAGATGAGGGCTTACCGTCTCAGTCTCTTGAACTTGGAAGGGTAGTGTGACAATAAAGCCTGCAAATGTACATAATTGACTTAAGGACATAAGTTGATAAATAATATAAATATGTACATATAGCCGAAAAAATAAAATTATAAATATAACATATAAATAAATAAATAAAGGAACAAAATCTAATAAGATGGTGAATGTTAGTAATTTAACAGCATAAAAGTTTTGCACATAATGCTGCTATTGTACAGATGACCAACACCACATTAGAACATTTAGATGCAGTCTCAGTACATTATTGCCTATGATGCCATTAAAAAGAATGGTGAATGAAATCAAAAGAACTACTAGTCACAACAAAAGAAACTATGTTAGCTAAACAAGAATTAACATCAAGCTTATAATCTTTCACTTGGCTTCCTTTCGCTAGTAAATCTTAAAAACTAAGAGCTGGTAACTAAGATATGGATGGCAATTTATGATCCAGGGAAAATAAGACAACACGCCAATAATCGGGCCTGAAGTGCCATACAAATCAATCATATTACTTAACGAAACACACAATTGTTCTTTAGTGTATTCTAGCTCCTTAAGACTTAATAGGCATGAACTTGGATAATGAGATCCATCATATAGAACACAACATCTTGAACAGTTGACATTTTGATTCTTGAACAGTTGTTACCTTCACATTGAGCGAAGGGGTACTATTGCAATTTTTTCTGTGTCTTTCTTTCTTTTCTTTTTCCCTGATAATTAGCATCTTAATAAGATTCTTCCAACTCAACCATGGTATTTTCTTGAAGTAGAGAGCAAGGAATTGTCATTTTCACCTTGGTGAGGCAGTCTCAAAACAAAATGCTAACAACACAAGCATCATGTCACTAGAGACACTTGATATCCTCAATGAAATTCTTTCCAAAACAAAAAAGACTTTATATTGGCCTCACCAAATTATTAAGGCCTTTCTTCTTTCCCTTCTATTATTACTTAGGTTGATAAAGCAATGTAAAAAGGAAACATGTTCCAATTGTGCAGTTCTATCACACAAATTCTTCAAATTTGGTTGTTGAATGGTTAAAACATACAATAGTTTAGGCTTTTATATAGTTTAAAAGACATCAGTGTATACACAGCACAAAGAATCTTACAAGAATATCAATTCATTTTCATTATGTAGAAACCTTTTTCAAGTTAATTTAAGTCATTCCTTGGTCTGGGAAATAAAGTTTTTCTCTGGGATCATACTACGAAGAACCTTAATCTACAGTGACTTGTTGAGAGTGTTAAATTAACACATTTTGGTGCCATGGTAATTACTGAATGATTTCCGAGTGTGTATAGTGCAGGATAAGGGAGAGGCAAAAATTTCTTTTATCAAAACAAGTGCTCCACCTCATGCAGTACGCACTCGCTTTTGCATTACCATATTTGCACCTCCTCCAAGTTAAGTACTAGGCAAATATAGCATTATTCCAATGATTACATGAACTCTACTTCCACATCCCTTGCATTCCGACATAAATTAAACTATAAAAAGTATCTAGATCTACCAATTGGAAATAAGCACTCAGCACTAATAGAAAGGAATGGATATAACCAGCCCAACTCCAAACACCATTTTAGAATGCCATTAGCAACACAATAAATTCCACCCAAGCAAAATATTACCTTGTGAGCAGCTGGAAGCTTTCTGAAAGATCTTTCGTACCTTTGGACATCTTCTTCTGCAGCCTCAGGATAACTGCACAAAAAGTAAGTGCAAGAGAAAACAAATATCATTGGGTGAAGAGTAAAAAATTTTTGAATAATAAAAAAAAAATGAACAAGAAATTTAAGAATACAAATATCCCTTTGTCCATAGCATTCAAACAAACTCCAAATCAAAAAATAAAAATTTTGCTCGAATTGAAAGAATTAATAAAGAAAGAGATGGAGCTGAAGAGAAATACTTGAGATAGGCACTAATGATGCGCCTGAGGGATTTGACTTCAAGAACTTCTTCCAGCCTCCTTTGTCGGAGGCGATCTTCGTCTTCCTCAACCTCCCGAGACATTTTTCTCGCTTACTCTTATTAACTGATTACAGAACCTTCGACGGCCGTAAAGAAAGGGGGGTGTCTCTGCTCTCCAGTCCGACTGCCATTCTGTGAAAGACGTTAAATTATTTTAAGTTTTTTATTTGAAAAAAAAAAAACTTAAATGTCACAATCTTTATTGCAGGTTTAAATATAAATTTGCTATAAACCAATGGCGTGTTTGGTTATCTCGAGCTAGTTTAACAAGTTGTTTAGTATTTTTTTTTTTCAGTGTTATTTATTGTTTTTAGATTCTTTTAATTCTATTCATTATACTTTATATTTAATTCAATTTTATCTAATCTTCTTATCCTAAAATAAAATATTTAGTCCTCAAACTATATTTTTTTTATCTTTTAATTTTTAAATTTATATTTATCGTAAAGTCAATATAATAAAATATTATAAATAGACTTTTAAAATAGACTTTTTTATTTAAAATATAAGGAGTCAAGTACTGTGTCCTTATTTTTTCTAATCTCAAGAATAATAATGTTAAAAGAATAATAAAACTATTTCTATGCCTATTTTGCTTTTATATGATAAAATAAATTAGGATTATTCCTAAAAATCTTTTAGTCTAGCCTTTAGTCAAGTTGATGCTTCCTTCGCCAACCCTCAATGCCACATTCTGGCTACCATGAGTATCTGAAAAAGGCAAATGACCTCACGGTTGCCTAAGTAGTTTCAATGATTCTTCTCATTGTTTTTATGATGAAAATAAGGAACGATAAAAACATAAAAATTATTCTAAAACATGTTTTTATTTCTAAAAAGACAAAGGGAAAGTTCCTTTTCCTTTTGAAAGGTGTGCACAAATGCATTGTGGAAGGCTCTTAGGTAAGGTATTTGGATGTTCAAATGCCTATACCTATTACAATTTATAAGGGGTCTTTTATAGTGCTCCTTCAAATCTTTTCTTTTGTCATTGTTGACATTTAAAGTCTAGATTATTATTTGGTGGTCCAAACTTATTCTCTTACTTTTACTAAAGTAGATTACATAAAATCCTGAGACATCATTGTTGACCCCATTCTTTTTCTTCAATGATGTAAGAACTTATGTCTTTTTGTATTGGATTATTCAAAAGATGATGAGATCCTCTTCACTATTTGAGAGAGTGGTCCTTTCGTCACATGTTACTTTAGCTTTTCTTATTGCAGACTCTTTTTTGTAACAAAAACCACAATGATTGTCATGTTGTAACAGCTTGCATGGTCTATTATGAACTACTGTGCTAGCTAAGACTATATTTTCAAAGATTTCTTTTTGTTTCTACTTTATTTTGAACAAGTTTTTTTTTTTTTTTTGATAAATCAAAATCAAAATCAAATTTTATTAAGAGAATGAGTACAAGGGGTACTCACCCATTAGATCAAGAAAATACACAACAGGTGGAAGGGAGTTAGGACTGGACTGCACATAGAACTGGAAACTGACACCAGTCACTTAAACAAAAACTAACAGATTTCAAGGTTCCTTTAATCCAAGCAAAGGTCTTAACCCGCACTAAGTCTATAATATTATTCTCATCCCAAGAAAATTTGTTAAAAATAATACCATTTCTGTAGGACCAAATGGCCCAAGCTGTTGTAAAAATAGTGAGAGTCCAACACTATCGTGCTTTCCTTGGGATCGAAAGTGAGCAAAGCTGGAGAAGTAGATGGGAGATGTTATTAGAATGGTTAACCGTCAATCCCCACCAGCTGCATACACGGTTCCAAAGGCTTTGAGAAAATTTGCACTTTGCAAAGACATGGTTTGCATCTTCCATATAATTATCACATAGAACGCATGTTGGGCTGGATACTAGATGAATGCCATGTTGTATGAGTTTATCCTTAGTGGGGAGGTGGTTTAAAAATTTTGAACAAGTTGATTCTTGTTATTAATCTTGCTCCAATTGATACCACCAAAATTTCATTGGTGAAGCCATAAGTCCATGTTTCCTTCATGTCTATCATTTTGTCAAAGGTCTAAAGTAAAACCTTGAATCCTAAAGCCCTTCTTTCTTAAATGAACTCTATTCCACAAAGAGGTTCTTTAAATTATTGAAAAATTTGATCTTCATTTGCTTTTATCTTGATCTTTTTGGACTAAGTTCTAATCTAAATTATATGGTGACTAGGAAAATATTGAGATTTCTCCCATTCTAGTGCTGCAAAGTAGATTTTGACAAATACTACTCCTTGAGCTTTGGTGCCAATCCTAGAGTCTTTTACTCTTTAGTATATAACTTCTGAAAGTTTTGAAACCTCATTATTTTTTAAGTGATAGATACAATTTACAAAACCATAATGAAATAATTCTTCTATTGCTTTCAAGCTTGCACTCTCCATAAAATTAATTCTTGGATAAATCCCTTAATGGATAAGATGACAATTCTTGGAAGACCTCATTGAATTTGCCATTTTACAGACTCTATGGTCTTCCTATAGATATTTTTCACTTATTGTCATTTTTGACAAGTGTCTAATATCGTAACTTTCTTCTCTTTCTTTCATGGGTAATCAGATTGAAAGTTAAGGTTTTCGGCATTTTGAATAGTTGGTGTTTCAACTTAAGATACTGATATTTCTGGGGGAGAGTTAGACATAATAGTCAAATTTCCCTAAACTTTCTCCAAGTAAACCTACTAAAGGATCACCTTATTCAAAATTTTCTTTTAGCTCTTGTTGGGATCTTTTCTTTGCCATCTAGCTAGATTCTTTGGAGCTAATTCCAACAGTATTAATTACTCTAGAATTCATTAATTTTTCTATCAGTTCTTTGACTTCTTCAAGGCATCCTGTTCCTTATTGAATAACTCATGGTCTTTAATAATTTTTTCTTGGCCTTCATCCATAAGGCTATGGCCTTCATCAATTATTTCTTGGCATTTGATCATTTTCTCTTGGCTTTCTCTTATTTGGCTATTGGCTTCAATGAGTTTCTTTTGACCTTTAAGAATAGGGTTTTTTCCTTTATTTTGAAGTTTTAGGATCTCAACCCTTAGCTCCTATTCTACTTGAGAAATTCGCAAGATAATTATTAGTTCCCTTGACATATTTAATTTTAAAATCATACTTGACAAAGAATGTTTGCCATCTATTTAATCTTTTATATTATAGTGTTAAATGTAATTTATTAATAATAAATCCTTTAACTTAGTATTATCAATTATCATCTTAAAATGTTTTGATAATAAAAAGAAACTGAACTTTTTATTCCATTTTTAATAGCCAATAATTCCTTTGAATTTGAATGATATCTAGTTTCTACATCTTTAAATGTACCACTATTATATCTACAAACTTTCTCTTGAGAATTTTCAAAATTGCTTGCCAATAAAAATCTCAAGAGAAAGTTAATTTTAGAATGTGATACTTGAGATTTTAGGCAACTATAACCTACGCGGCTCTGCTATAAGATATTTGTCGTTAATTTTAGAATGTGATACCTCAGATTTTAGGCAACTATAACCTACAAGGCATTTATTAGCCTCATGCTTTTACAATAAAAATCTCAAGAGAAAGTTAATTTTAGAATGTGACATTCTTTGCAAAAAATTGCTCAAAAAGAAAGAAAATCAACAATGGGATATTTGTTGCACTAATCATGTGAAAAGAATCAAAGAACATTGTAAAAACCTTCTTAGGTTATAGTTGCCGAAATAAGAAAGTGATGTATAAAGAGCAATTGCTTGCCTAAATTTTGGCTCCCAGTAATGGATAAAGAGCCTATATTTGCTACGCGACTCTTGTCGATGGACAACAAGGTGCATCTACACAACTCCCAACGATGGACAAAAGGCTAGATTTGCTATCTTATTTAGCCTCCAAGAATGGGCAAAAGGCTACACAATTTTACGTATGTTCATTACATCGGTTCCTAGCAATGGACAAAGGGTTGGATCTCTATACGTTTGTTGATGGATGTTTTTGTAAAAGGTCAAACTTGGACTCGAGTAGTTTCCACATCACCAAGACCCGCTTTGGTCTAAGCGCCCATTAATGCCTTCAACGTGCATTTACCAAACGGCCCAATAATATCTAATGCTATAGTACATGGCTAGGCCCAACAATATCTGATGCTGCAATACATGGCTAGACCCAACAGTGTCTAATGCTGCAGTATATGGCTATATCGCTAGAAATACATAAGTCTTGTTTCTTTATTATTTTCTTATTTATTAAATTTCATCAGTTTCATCAACAGATCACTATTCCTTTATGCAAGTCATCAATAAAACCATGAATCCAAACTCATGGGGATATTCGGGATAAACTATGGGAGTAGTGGCTTGGTAGGCATGGATGGGTGAACATTGCAAGTCTGGTGAAGTAAGGTATTCACATTAGCGAAGCTTCGCACTGGTGATGTTGCCCAACTTTGCCAAAAAGGGCTGGATGGTGAAGACGTGGAGGTAGACTTGATCCACAAAACAGTACCATTTGATGCCAACTAGAAGTTTAAAATCTTGTTCAAAACCAACCAAAGATGCTATGTTGGTCACCATTAGCAACTTGCAGCTGTATTCAATGCAAAAGGTGGCTGCACAAGCTCCATGGTTTTGGGAACTATTGAAAAAGATCTAATTTCGTTGGGAAAATCTACCAAAATCTCGAGCTGACCTTTGAGAATCTTCAAAAATCTTGGCTAGATCTGATTTTGCCGGCTGCACTCAAATAACCCCCCAAAAATGGTATTTCATATCCTTGGAGAGTTACCAAAAATGGACAGTCTTCAGCAAATTAGCAATACTTTGTTGGAATTGGCGGTACTTCATTGGAATTGGTGGTGTTTTGTTGGAACTAGCAATGCTTCACTAGAACCATTGGGTAATTCATAATATCACTGCCAAAAAGCTGTCAACAATGCCTAAAACCACTCAAAACTCAACAGCTCACCCAAATCTACTCATTAGGCCACTATGGACCTTTGACCCATCAACCAAAAATTACAAAAATGCCACTGCACACATATTATTATTTTTCCTTTATTTTTCAGTAGAATGGACCAAATTTTTCACAACTTTAGCTTCCCTCTCATGTACCAGACCTCCCTTCTTCCTCTAA